CCTGCTTGTTATTTTCAATTCTGTATTGTTATAAATAACCCAATTCTAAGTGTTTTCATGAGTCAGCTTTTGCCCTTTGGGTTATTTCCTTGAAGTATGTTCCCAGAAGTACCGTTATCGGGCAGTGGAGCAGCTGTGGACTTCCCAGGACTCATCTCTAATCCACCTCTTGAAAACACGGATCCGGCTTCTGGGGCAACTGGCATTGCGGGGAGGGTGCCCGTCTGCTCTGCAGCCCTCCTCTACTGGCCTCCTTTTCTGAGTCCAGCAGGTGTCCTGCTGACTTTCTCAAGCTGAGCTGGAGGTGAAAATCTAACCCAGGAGGTTAGGGTTCTCAAACTGGTCATCTGAGACCTCCCCTTCACACTTATGTCTTGTCGGAGGACTCTCCCCCTGCATTATCTTTCACTGTTTGTCTTTAAATCCACTCAGGTTTTCACTCCCTCCCTTAAATGAGAAAACTCTATTTGGTTCTGGCAAATAAAGAAGAGAGGAATGAAGGCAGCAGTCAGGCCAGCCACTACCGTCACATCCCTTGTCATAAATATGGCAGGTGGACAGAAACATGAATATACTGCATCCCTCCGGCCCTCCTGAGACCCTGTGGCCTACAGAGGGTCAGGCCTGGGCATTAGAGAGACATCCAAGATACGGCTGCACCAGAAGGGTTGAGAAAGGCCAACTTTCTCCCAGCCCTGACACCTGGTGCGGAGATCCCTGTAGGAGAAAAGGGGGCAGCCACCCTCCCACCCTCCACCTTGTGCCCAACATCCCCCAGACTTTGGTCACCTTCCCCTGTCCCTGTCCTGGGCACGGAGGGTGCACACCTCTCACTTTGGGACACTGGCTGCCCCTTGCGTAGCCCTCCCACCAGTCTTGTTTGTTTTGGTAGCCACATCACATGTTGGCTCCCCAGACCTCCATAGCCAAGGCCACAGATTCCCCCGGGTGTTTTTCCCACATGGTGTTTATTTTCCCTGCTGCATATTCCTCCCCTTCCCCAGAAGTGAGATCGTTTATTTGTACCTAATTTTAGAGTCTCACATTTATCCTGCTAACATTTTATCCTGTCAACTGTGGGTCATTTTCCCAGCCCATCGATCAGTCCTTGGGGAATGTCCTGATCTCTCCTCTGATGGACCGGGCTGTGGGGTCCACAGTGGGAGCATCAGTGTCCCCAAGGGCCGCTGAGGTCTTCCCAGAGCCCCTGGCCATTCATCTGGCCATGTGAGGACATGGCTGTATGGGGAGCTTCCACGGTGGCCCAAGGCCCTATCTTCTGGGTTGTGTCCATCCTGCCCTATCTATGAGTCCTTTTGGGAAAGGGGACAAGGAGAGTGTAGCACCTGGCTCTGGGAACTAGGCCAGCCCAGGTGCTCACCCCTCTCTACCAAGTGCTCCCAAGGATGCCTCCTGGCTCTGCAGCCTGGGCAGGACCCCACCAGGCCCGCTGGTCTGGGAACCGAGCATACTATCTTCTCCCATTGGGAGTGGCAACCTTGTCTGTGCCCCAGCTCCGGGCACCTCTCCTCTGCTCTCTGATTCCCTAGGGAATAGCTGTGCCAAGAGTGCCCCCAGGTGCCGGTCCCTGGGGTCTGGGGTGGTCAGGGCCCTTTTCCTGGAAGAGAGGTGGGGCCCTGTCCTGCCTGGACTTGAGGAACCTGCCTCCCACCCGAATGGCCACTCACTCTGCCTGAGCGTCTGAGTGTGGGCCACTGAGATGCTACTTTGTCATGGGACAGACCAGAGGACCCAGGCCTTCAAGAGGTGCCAGCTCTTTGTTTTTGCCAACTGGGCTTGCCTGCCCTGACAGCCAACTGGCCTATCCAGGGAGGCCATTTCCTAGCCAGTGGTGCTACCAACTTCTGTGGAAATACTGGAAGCTGTGTCCTCAAGGGCCCTTTATTTCCCTAAGACAACAGATCACTTGTGCCTTTGACAATGCCATTCTCTTTCCCAGCATATACGCAAGGCCAGCCCGGCCCCTGCCCTTCTGGCTGGCTACCTCTTTGTATCGGGTACGTGTACCAGGGATTGACCAGGCAGCCTGGACTTCCTGCCGTTATTTGGGCAGTGGCTGTTGGGCCTCGTCTTTTTCTGGTCTTCACTGTTCTCACAGGGTGACTGACTTTGGGGTGAAGGACTTGGTCACTCTGGGTTAAGTGTTCCCAATTGTATAAGGGGACTGGTAATATGATATTTGTCTCTAGGGTGTCCCTGAGAACTCAGTAATAAAGCTTTTAGGGCTGGGCCTGGCCTGTGGAGCTGAGGAAATTGTTGGCTGGGCCAAGGCAGAACTGGTGGGGCTAAGGGGATCTCGGCACTGGGACAGGCTGGGAAGGATGTGAGGGGGTGGAGGGTACATGGCAGGGCTTAAACGAGATTCTCTTCATTTCCTTTTCAATTTCTGAGGATGTGAGAACTGTGAGCAAAACTCCTGGCCTTGGCCAGGTTCCTGTGGCCACCGTGGGAAGGAGGTGAGGGGTTGGGAGTGTGGATAGTGGGCCGCACAGTCAGTTCAGCCTGGCCCCACATGGCCTGGGAGCTGACTTGCAGCCCCACCAGCAGGGTTGGGTGCCCTTGGCCCTGGACTGTAGGCCCATGTTCATCTCCACCTGTTTCCCACCGTTCTCTGAAATCAAGACACTGGCCTTGTTGTCACAGGTCTTGTGGGCCAGGCCACATGGTGGTTTAGGGAGAGAAGAGGCCTGAACCAAGGTGTTTTGAAGGATAAGCAGGAGTTTGCTGGCTACTCCAGGGGGTCAGAACGTTATCGGTGGTGGAAGAGGGGAAGGCTGAACTCAGACCCCCAAGCACAGCCCTGGACCCAGAAAACCTGGTTTCAAATCCTTCCAGACCACTTTTGAGCTGGATGGCCCTGGTGAGCACGGTTGGGAAGTGGGAGCGAGCCTGCTCAGACCCCTGCTCTGTCATCTTCTGCTCACCGTGTGCCTTTTCTGTAGTCCCTGCCTGCGCCTCAGTTTCCCCATCTGTAAAATGGGTTACATGAGGTTTATGTGAGGTGATGCTTTCTCAGCACAGACTCATTAACATTGTTCTTGTTATTATTTTTGGCTCCAAAGCAGCAGCCAGCCCAGAGAGGGTGCTGGGTCGTGAGGGCTGCCCCCTCCCTTGGCACCTAAGGATGGTGACCTGAGTGTCCTTCGAGTGAAACAAAAGATGGGCCTGGGAGGCTCCGCGGCCGCTTTATTGTTTTTTTGTTCACTCTGTCCTGCGTGCTTGGTCCTGTGGCAGATCCTGGGGATACAGCAGGGAACCAGCAGGTCAGAGGTCCCTTCATTGAGGCAGACTGGCGAAAAACAAACAAGTGAAACCTGGCCAGTGTGAAAGGGTAGGGAGAGCTATGGAGGAAAGGCAGGGGAGGAGAGTAGGGAGTGTAGTGGGGAGTGGGGTTTTAAGAGAACGGCTGGGAGGGCCTCCTTGATCAAGGCACCGCACAGAGGAGTTGAGGGTGGGAACCATGTGGGTACCTGGGGAAGAACATTCCAGGCAAAGGGCAGCATGTACCTGCACATCTCCCAAATCCCAACAAGGAAGCCCATGTTGCAGGAATAGAGTGAATGAGGGGAGGGATAGGAGATGAGGGCGAGGAGAGGACAGGGGCAGGTGGTGAGGGCCTTGTGGGCTTGCAGGAGGACTTGGGCTTTTACCCTGAGGGAGGTGGGAGCCCTGGAGGGCTGTGGGCAGAGGGGCGGGCAGAGGGGCAGGCCTCGCCTCAGGTGCCCACAAACGCCCTCTGGTGGCTGCCGCAGGGAGAACATCCTATTGATTGGGGATGATAGCGAACTCAAGGACACCAGGGAGGATCCTGGTCAAGCAACCTGGGGAGAGATGGTGGCAGCCTGGACTAGGGTTAGGGCAGTGAAGGTGGGGAATCTGGATGTGTACACATAACATTTTTAATTGGGGAGAAACTTTTCATTAGGGCCAAGGGTTACCAAGCCTGTAGCCCCCATGGCCCTCTACTGGGCAGACCCACCCTCGCGTGCCAGAGCCCAAGGCCCACACTTGGGGGTGCATGTGATTTTCAGCAGGGGCGTCTGGTCAGACTGTTGGGTGTTGTTCCTTCTGCACTGCACACACACCCATGCACACGTGCGTACATATGGTACAGGTCTCCACCGGTATGCCCTGGGTCTGAGGCTGGTCCTCCTCGGCCCAGGCTGATCCTGGACCATCTGTCGTGGCCCCACCCCTAAAAGAAGAGACCCACCGGGCCTGCTCTGCCCTGCTCAGGAGGGCTCTGGTCCTGGACGTCCCTGCAGGGCAGTCCAACCCTGGGGGTGCGGTGATAGGAGGGGTGCAGGCTCCTGCATGGGTGAGTTGGCTGTGCTGGGCTGAATGTGGTTTGCTTGCAAAACATGAGGAAGCAGCAGGGTGGGCATGGGGCATAAGCCTTTTCATCTCCGATTACCTAAAACCCCAGAGCCAGCCCCGTGTAGGTAGGAACCTGGCAGAACAGTAGTAATAATTGTTCTCCCACTCGTCTTTTCGAGCTGAATGCTGGCTGAGTTCCGTTCTTTCAAGCTCTTGTGTCCCCTGCCCTGAAGTGGCTCTTGTTCCTATCTTTTCATACCTGGAAAAGGCAGCCCAGAGAAGTTAAGCGACTTGCCCATGATTACCCCGCCCAGGAGCTTGCTCGGGCCACCAGGTTACGGTAGAGGTTTAGAGGTTGATGGGTCCTTAAGCCTCCAGTCTGCCAAGATGCCTGAGTCCCTATGCCCCACTCGAGACAGCCCTCCCTGATCTGAAGGACCAGACACAGGCAGGGGTGTTGTGCCCTCTGTAGTGGGTGTGTTTCTGAAAGCCCGGAGTTGCTGTTGGCTTCTGTACTGGGAAAGGTGGAGTCTCGGGCAGGGCGCTCCAGGGCAACTCTGACTCCACCCTGTTTTTGGCTGTCACGTGTCTGCAGCACCCACCGCACCACTGTGAAGGGTCTGCAAGTGGACGTAGGTAGTGCATGGGTCTTGTCTTGGTGGTGCTGCCCTTCTCTGGCCCACGGAGCCTCATGTATAGCGCCCCCCCCAACAGTGGTGCTCATCGGGGACTCGGGTGTGGGGAAGAGCAACTTGCTGTCTCGTTTCACCCGCAACGAGTTCAACCTGGAGAGCAAGAGCACCATCGGCGTGGAGTTCGCCACCCGCAGCATCCAGGTGGACGGCAAGACCATCAAGGCACAGATCTGGGACACCGCTGGTCAGGAGCGCTACCGCGCCATCACCTCTGCGTGAGTGGTGGGGATAGGGAGATGCAGGAGGCCGTGGGTATGGGGGGCCAGTGGGCCCCAAAGAATGGCTGGGAATTGGGCAGGGGGAGAAGAGGAGAGGACAGCCTGAGAACAGGGTGGAGGGACAATACTCCCAGCAGCCGTGGGACCCTCAAGAAGACCAGTGCCCACTTCTGACCAAACTGTGACCTCTGGTGGGCATGTCCCATGGCCCCTCTGACCCCTGGAGTCCCTCTGAGGCACTGGAGCTTTGGCGAGTGCTAGTTGCATAGGGAGAGCTGTTATCCAGGCCTGGCGTGGGCCACTCCGCCTGCCCCCTACCCCTGCCTGCTTGGTCCTCCCTGCCTGGCCACGTTCCCAGTCTTCCTCTTCCCTTAGCTCCCCATGCGTACGCAGCCATCAGGACCCACTCACACTGCCTCCTCTCAGGCCCCTCCCAACCACCCTGCCCTTCCCCCCGTCAGTCACTTGCTGTTCTCTGGATGCCCTCCACTGAGGCCCAGTCACCTCCCCATCTCCTTAATCCCTCAGGGTCTCGGTGGTGGGCCAGGCCATGGCAGGCATCGGAGCGTTTGCCCAGCAGCAGCCCTTTCCCTGCATGGGCGCTGTTTCCTTCTCCCTTCTCAGTGGCTGACCTGTGGGTGTCTTCTGACTTCCTCCTCAGGCCCCCACAATCCTGAGCTGAATCTGGGACGCGGAGCCCTCCCTTGAGACCACGATGGCTGCCCCTCAGCTGGGCTCTGCGTTGGCCCAGGAGCCACTGCCCACAGAGCCTGGAGGGCCCCCGTGGGGCACTGGCGGGCAGCTCACACCTGGGCCCTGCCCCCTGTTCCTGCAGGTACTACCGTGGAGCAGTTGGCGCGCTGCTGGTGTATGACATCGCCAAACACCTGACTTACGAGAACGTGGAGCGCTGGCTGAAGGAGCTGCGGGACCACGCTGACAGCAACATTGTCATCATGCTGGTGGGCAACAAGAGCGACCTGCGCCACCTGCGGGCTGTGCCCACTGACGAGGCTCGTGCCTTTGCAGGTGAGTGCCTACCAGCTAAAAGGAGTTTCACTTGGGGCCAAGGCCTCCTGCAGGGCCCAGCTCCTGACAGCGGGACTGTGACTAAGGCGGTGGAGAAGTATCTGGAAGGCAGTCAGCCCCCTCCAGACCCCTTCCACTTTCTCTGGCCATGTGCATGCCTGCAGTGCCAGCCTCCCCACCCTGAGAGGTGGGCATCAGTCCTACTCCTCTGTCCCCAGCCCTTCACTTCCTGGACCATGTGGGGGGCAGGCAGGTGGGGTGCCTGAGAGGGTGCAGGGAAGCCCCTGCTCAGCTGGGCAGTGTTCTCTCTGTTCCAGAGAAGAACAACCTGTCCTTCATCGAGACCTCAGCCTTGGACTCCACCAACGTGGAGGAAGCTTTCAAGAACATCCTCACAGGTGCTCCCCGGGCCCAGGGGGGTGGCATGGGAAGGGCACCAGCCACTCTGGTCACATACTCTCAAATGCAGCCCCTGAGTCTTCATCCCTTAAACTTGCCAGTCAGTCCAGACAGGAGGACAGGCATGGCACCCTGAACGACATCAGGCCAGATCCTGCCCCTGCTGGCACTTGGGATCCAGAGATTCCTTGACTCAGCTCCTGTGGGTGGGTCCTGCCATGGCTCTAGCAGGGAACAGCCGGCTGGGGAGGCAGGTGGCCTTGGGCCCAGAGCCCCTGGGTTTCCAGGAGTTTATTCTGAGGAGGAGGTTTTCTCTGATCTTGAAGAAGAGGCCTGGGCTGGGAGTGACCTCTGTGGCTAGAAGTGGGTCCCGCCCTTGCTAAGTGCACAGGGAGCACCCTCATGTCATAGGAATCAGGTAGGGCACAATGGGGCCCTGGACACAGCCTCAGGGGTGTTCCCCAAAGGAGGCGACGTCCAGGTGAGTCCTGCAAACAGTCACTGCAGGTGGGGGCACGCAGGGCACTCATCACCTGTCCCCCCATTGCAGAGATCTACCGTATCGTGTCACAGAAGCAGATTGCAGATCGCGCAGCACACGACGAGTCTCCCGGCAACAACGTGGTGGACATCAGCGTGCCGCCCACTACCGACGGACAGAAACCGAATAAGCTGCAGTGCTGCCAGAACCTGTGACCACCCTGCGCCTCATTCGAGTGTGCGTGCACGTCCTCGTCCTCTGCCCGCCCCTCACCGCGCTGTCCTCCCTGCCCTGACCCTCTCTGCCCCTCTGTGACCGGCTCCCACTCGCCCATCGAACTCCATACAGCCAGCTGGGGCTTAGGAAGAACAGGAGTCAAGCGGTACCTCCTGACCCTGCATCCCTGGAAAGCTCAAAGCTCCAGCTGCTTCACCTGCTCTTCTTGGGTCCCAGTGGGCCTCTGGGCAGGGCGGGGAGGGTGGCAGGATGGACAGGGCCAGCCAGAGGCAAGAGGATGGGCACACTGAACAGGCTTCTTCATTTTTCACAGCAGGCTCCAGGGAGCAATTGCCTCCTCCCTCTGACCAGTTGGCCCAGCTGGCCCTGGTCCACACCCAGAAACCCCTTGTGGGCTGAAGCCTGAAGAGCAGGAAACCAGGGATCTGGTGCAGGCAGATACAGGCTCCAGGGAACCCCCTCCCCACGCACAGCCAGCACCGGCACACATCTTTGACCTCCAGCCTCTTTCGTGCGTGCGTGCGTGCGTGCGTGCGTGCGTGCCTCTAGCTCCTGCCTGTAGGTTTATGCTGGGAGAAGACCCCCTCCCCATTTCCCCTCCTTTTTGCACGCAGCGCGCTCCCCACCCCTTCCTGTGCCCTCCCCTCTGTCTTGTCTCCCTGTCTGGTCAGGAACCTGTTTGCAAGTGAAGCAATATCTCCGTGTTTTGTATATACAACCGC